GAGCGGGGGCAGCGCATTGGGAAACAAGCGTAGAGAGAGCACTCTGGGGCCAGTGGAATTAGTCTAGTCTAGGTTCATGAAGTGCTGTGGCGAGCCTGGCGAGGGTAGGTGGCCCGCGGAAGATACACGTGATGTTTCCACCAGCGCCGAGAGTTTTCGATATTCGAGTGGTGAAATGGACCTAGGCGCACCTTTACCAGTGTTCGCGCGGTTTGTTTACGTAGAACAGGGTTTTCGCCTGATTGAGAGCGGAGTATACGATTGAGAGCGGGAGCAAAAAAAATTGAAAATTCGAGTCCAGACGCCTCTTGCCATTTTTTTTTTTTTTGCCTTCCGACAATTGCAGATGTACCTCAGAAAACTTTCTAGTACAACATATGTAGGACGTAGGGGGCGGGCTCTTCCAAGAAGCGGCGCAAATCGAAGGTCTCATCANCTATTCCTGCCTCAAACTGTTTCAGGGCGATTTGATCGCGGGCGGTGAGCTCTGCTGTAGATTCTGCTCCCCGCTGTAGCTCCACAACGAGAGACGCCCACAGGATGACCAGGGTATCGGCTTGTAGCTACGGGCTAGGCCTTCAATTCAAGTCACGCAGCAAGCTCCACCTCTCAGCGGTAGTCCAGCTACAGCGCATCGCGCAATCTCGCTCTCAATCAGAAACTTCGCTCTCAATCACACGAAAACCTTGTTGTAGTTGTTTCGAACATCCGCGAGCGCGAACCAAGGTATCGTTACCAAGGTATCGTTTTGTGTCTTGCGTGGCGAATCCGAGCGGTTCGCGTCACGTGGGTGTTGCATGGGAAAACATCCGATTATTGCGACTCAATCGTATTGTGTACGTCGATTTTATTCGACGTTGTTGTGTGTTGTCCTTGTACCAGTTATTTAAGATATTTGTTAGATTCCCCGTTGGGTTGGAAGATTGAGAGAATAGAGACGGAGCACAATTCACGAGTTTGGTGCTCATGGTTTGGTACTTAGCTGATAGGCACCCAGGTGCAACGCTTTGCTGCGTTGCTCGTTTTGTTCGGTGGGTCCATGGGCATGGGGCAGGGTGCGATCGTTCTGTGGCAGGTTCAGTTCTACGGTCCTTCTGTCAAAATAGGCAGATAGCACTTCTTTGTATATGTTACTAGCTTTTCTTCCAACCTGGGTTGATCAGGAAACAACCGACGATAAGGACACTCTTGGATGTCGGTGTTGGCTTGACTGATAAGGGGAAACATGATTGATGAACAAACGTGATGGTTGTGCCCATGGCGTACTCCGCCACAAGTACATCCTCGATAACGCCGAGAAAAGAGGGGGGTGGAATCCTGAATTCGCCTGAGCGTGAACAACGGTCGTACGATTGACCCCTCGCCTGAGGTTGGCACTTTACCAAGGGTTGGTGCCTATTTCCACCGTGGCAGGTACTGTATCCTGCGCACCATGGGGTGTTTTGCACTTTTTGCAGAGTAAAGTGATCCAGGCGGTATTTGAACTCCTCCGGGTATCCTTCATTCCATATAGTTACACCATTAGACAAGTCAGCGCTGACTAGTCTAGACTAGCTAATGGTGTAACTTGATCGAATACCTTCCTTGTGTTCCGCCCCCAACATAGTCTAGCTGCGAACCCCCTTGCAACACAGCACAGCTAGCTGCAAGCTGACAGCAGCAGCAGTTCTCTCTCGCGGTTCGAAAGCATTCGACCACTACGCTCTCTCGCAGTCCACAACCCGCACGCGAGCACCCTCTGTGATATGTAGATAGGGAGAGCTGCGAGCTGTGCAGCAGGAGATTGCTGCTTTCCTCTCTACCACAGGCGTGACAAATGTCACAATTGTGACGGCGTGGGCGAGCTTGCTCGAAAATACACACACACGTGAAGTGAAAACATCAAACTGCCGAACACCGTCACACTTGTCACAGCGCAGCAAGTTCATCTATCGCGGTTCGAAAGCATTCGACCACTACTACGCTCTGTCGCGGTTCAAAAACCTCACGCGAACATCCTTTGTGATAAGTAGGTAGGGAAAGCCGCGAGCTGTGCAGGAGGAGATGCCTGCTTGCCGCCCTACCACAGGCGTGAAAGTTGCGATCGTTCGTTTTTCTGCTGCCTGCCTGTTGGCCTGCTCTTCTTCCTCTCTTTTCCTCTCTATCCCGCTCAGGAGTATAGATGGTATTCTATAAAGTTACACCATTAGACTAGTCAGCGCTGAAGTTACACGTCTAGTCTAATGGTGTAACTTTATCGAATAAAAGATACGATCAGAGCTCATTTGCACCCGGCTTGATCACATTTTTTGGTTGAGGAGTGGATAGAGATCTCCGGGGACGGATCCCTCGCCAGAGGGTGCCAGAAATCCTCATTGATGCTTGGGAAAGTGACCAGTCGGGTTTCGAGCCCGTGCCTGAATCCTTTATCGCCAAATGTTCAACCATAAGACTAGTGTTCCGTCGCCGTGCGTGAATCTTTCATCGCCACACACATTGCGAAGGTGTACCGATTCAGGTAAAAGTCAATCGACGGATACCCTGCGAATCGGGTCCTCCGTAACACTCTCCACCCACAGAATTTACCCTCAACTGGAAACCTCTTGTGGCCAGGATGGGTAATTCGATGGAAATGTCACAAGGTTCTTGTGGGATTGACTCCAAGAGATGTTCTCAGGACTGACACACATTATGTCCATGGGAAAATGTCCAAGTCAGGAGAAAAGTGTGCACCCAAAGATATTCGAACCAGTATCCTGCCGCTGACGCCAAGTTTAAAGGAGGTGAAGCCGTGGGCGGTAGCTTGCTCCTAGAGATAGATGAAGGTTCTGTCGTTGACACGCTTGTCCCCGACCACGTTGAGATAGGAAAGTTGCTTGTTATTGCTGAGAGGCGATCAGCAAGGGTCTGAGATGAAGTGGGGATCCAACTTCGTCTCAGGTGGGTACACCGAGTAGACAATTCTAAGGGGGTAGGAGTCAGAAGGGTATACCTCCTGACCGACCCGCATCCTATCAACAATAAGATGTACCCTATTCATGCTAGCAGCCACACTCCTTAACACTAGCCCAACATGAATATCATATATGCAGATTCTACACTCAAAATCAATGCTCAATTCCTAAGCTACAGTAAGATATAGCTGATTATTTATGATCATGAATCGATAGGACTCTTCACAAAACCTCCAAAACGAGGGTGACTTGTAGAATTATCCCCAATCAATCCATCATTAAGATGAAGCATGCAAACGGTCACGAGACGGAACATCGACATCTCAATGACAACGCTTGAAGGGATAAAGCTACGAAGAATATCTATTGCGGCAGAGCACGCTATCATCCTGAAACAGACGACGACAGAGGAAACAAAATCAATGTCCAAACGCCACGCACCACTCTTTTCTGCGCACCCGCGCGTATCACCGCTGGAGGAATGAAGTTGACTACCCGAGAGAGTCCAAAACATGGTGACGAAACTCAACACCCAAACAAATTTCCGAACTAATACGGCCTTGGATATTGGACGCGACGCAAGGGGAAAACTCAACGCAATCTAGGACGTTAACGAAAGGCAGGAGAAAAGAACGACAGGCAAAGGCACGGAGAACGATGGCCAGCGTGCCAGGGTACCCAACTCGTACAAGGAGACGGCAAGGGCAAGACCTGTGGAGGGCCAAGGATGAAAAGCACAAGCGATTAACGCAAGAGAGGCGGTCGACGAACTGCGCCATGGCTCGCTGGCGATACGCATCGTTCAAAGAAAGATATAAAACACAGAAAGTCGTAGAGATTCACACAACAAGACGACGACTCAGGGGTGCTACTGTGATGAAGGCGTCGCCCGAAGGTGGCGATGATGGAGACGAAGCAGAACGAAGTGTGGGTGACGACGAAAATCCATGGGAGAAGGCGACGCCACGGGATGGAATCCCGAAGCACCAAGCGTATGCGACACTTCTGCGGCACGATGGAACAAAAAAAAAAAAGTTGTAAGACAACATTAGTTGGCAAACAGGCGAACCGGGAAAACGCGGGGAACTCCGTGTCCAAGTGTCCCGAGGCAAACAACACCGACGAAACTTGGGGAACTCTTTTCCAAGTGTTCAGAGGTAGACAATACCGACGAAACTTCGGAGGGAGCTTGTCGAGAGAACCAAAGACCAAAAAAAAAAAAATATTGAAGCAAAGGCGAGAGAGAACAGACATCCAGGTTGCGGCACTTCACTGATTCAGACGAATGCAGGCAACAAGGAAGAAGGATCACTCGACACTGCGTGTCTTGAGGCGGCGTTGCCCCAGCGTCCAAAAACAAAAAATAAGCCAACGAAAGAAAAGAGACAGGACAGAAAAAACAAAACAAACAAAACAAAACAGAAGGTGACAGAACAACAAAAACAAAACGTCGGCGAGAAGGATGGCACAAAACACCAAAATAGGCCGACCGGTAAATCAAAACGACGACGCTAAGAAGAAATTATGGAAGCAGCTGACGGTTAGGAGTCAGCAAGGAGCGGAGTGCGACCACGATTGTCGCCCAGAGGGCGCGAACGATGTTTTTCTAAACACCATGATCCACAGACGGCGTCCAAGGCGGTGGAGTAGAGACGCGCAGGCAGAGGGAGAACGCTTGGGCCCGGGTCATCCAAAAATCGAACGATGTACGAGCCGCCCTGATGAGCACCAATACGTCCGGTCCACCACAATCAATCACGGGCCTTGTACCACAGCCGCGCGCCAACAGGGAGGGGCGAAGTGCTGAAACGACGAAGCCAAGTCGCGTGAAGCACAAAGTCAGCCCCAGGAGGCAAATAGCGTTCTCCACAACTCCGGGCTAGCTCCCGCTGTGCCGCGCGAGTCCGAGCCACTCGATATGTACGGTTACCCTGCTTGCTTTGGCAGGCCTCCCGGGACCAGTACAAGAGGATGTGTCGGCGGAATAGATCAAGGTCAGATTCCCGTTCCCATGAAGGAGTAGTGAGACCTACCCAATGCGTCTGGTACAGGACGGCGAGAACGCGACTACGGCCCCGCACCAGTTGATGTCCCGATGTAGTCGACCTCGAGGCGCCCGACAGGCACCGACACATCATCCGCGGTGACGTGGAAAGGTGGACATTTATCTCCGAACGAGTGCAGAACATAACGCGAAAGCTCGGCGGGCAGAGATTGCGGCAAGTCGTCCGTCTCGTAAGGATTTCGACAGGGCTTGCAACGAAGGACAGACACGCGACAACGAGCTGCCGGGCCGGAAAGATCGGAAGGCAGGTCCAGGTAGAGGAGTTTATGCGCCAACGGGCGGCCGTCCGGAGTGGCGTCGGCAGAACCGGGACCCAGCGCAAGAACTTTGTAGGGCCCTGACCAGGAAAGTGCGAATTTGGCCTTGAGCACCTGTTGGTCCGTGTCCTTCTGCACACCCTGTCGAATTGTAGCAGCCATGTTGTACACCCAAGCCCACCCGCCAACGGTAAACTGAGGGAGCTTGTGAATGGCGTCCAGCAGGGATGAATTTCGGCGTTCGACTCGCGAAATCTTCAGGGCGTTGTACTCACGGACAAGTTCGTAGGCCCGGCGCTGGCGATCGACAGCCAGGTTGCAATACTCGAGTTGATCGCGGGCCAAGATTAGATGACCACCTACCGTGGGATGATCGAAGGCCAAAAGCGGGAGTCGCGGGATGCGTCCGATGTGGATCTCGTTTGGCGCTAATCCAGTAGACTGGTTCACGGAATTGTTGCAGGCAAACTCAACGTGCGGGCGATGTACGTCCCAATCGTTTTGCTGTTCGTGGCGACCTCCGCAAGCATCTGGGCCATCGTGTGGTTGACGCGTTCCGTGCCGCCGTTGGTCTGTGGGTGGTAGGAGCTGGTGGTGACCTTCTTGATCTTCATCACCTCGTAGATCGCCATGGAGAGCTTCGAGTAGAAATGCAGTCCGTTGTCCGACAAAAACGTAGTCGGACATCCCCACTTGGTCATGTATTGGTTGACGAAGNGCGATGTACGTCCCAATCGTTTTGCTGTTCGTGGCGACCTCCGCAAGCATCTGGGCCATCGTGTGGTTGACGCGTTCCGTGCCGCCGTTGGTCTGTGGGTGGTAGGAGCTGGTGGTGACCTTCTTGATCTTCATCACCTCGTAGATCGCCATGGAGAGCTTCGAGCAGAAATGCAGTCCGTTGTCCGACAATAACGTAGTCGGACATCCCCACTTGGTCATGTATTGGTTGACGAAGATGTGAGCCGTCCCTTTCGCCGTAAATTCCGCCGCTGTAACTGCGAACGTGTCGGCTCTCCGACTGAAACGGTCTGTGAACAACAAAAATGTAGGAGTTGCCCTTGGCAGTCACTGGCAGAGGTTCGAAGAAGTCGATGCCGACGACCGTACCAGGCCCCTGCGGCAATGGTATAGCGATGACGGACCACCGAGCAGTCTGACGTGAAGTCTTGCGAGCTTGACACACCAAACACGCCCGAAGTCACCAGCGCACGGAACGATCCAAACCAATCCACCAGTAGAAGCGCTCGAGCAGACGCTGTGTACGATGGACGCCGAGATGGAATTACGCGGCGGTATGGCATGCATGAAGGACCCACGGACGCATCAGCATTGGCACGTAGACACGAGGCACGCAAGTATCCGGCAGACGAGTGGTCCTGCCGCCACAGCGCCCAACCGGCGACATCGCCGATTTATATACGAGGAGGGAGATGTTGTCATCGGTCGTGTGCAGTCTGGTTTTCGCCGCCAACACAAGCACATCATCTAACCGAGGGGAGCGAAGAGGAGCACGGAGAGTGGGCAAGTCCGGAGGGGGTGGGGAGGGAGAACCGTGAGACAAAAAACGCATAGCCACCACACACTCGCTCTTCCGCTGTTTTCCCTAGCCCAGTCCATAATGCTGAAACTCTGAACACAAGCCCGCAAGTGGGAGGTGTCCAAAGCAGCAGATTCCGAAAAAATATCAGACGATCCAACGGAAGAGGCTGAAGAAAGCGAAGCCTCAGCGACTGGGGCAGCCGCAGTCCGTGGTGATGTCCGCGAAGGGGGCATCGTGAGTGGCGAAGTCCCGGGCGAAACCTGTAGAGAAAGCGAAGTCGGGGATGCAGGGCGCGCCGCTGACGGCGAAGACACCGGTGGCGCAGGAGCAGTCGACGAAAACGCCGATGCCGGCGTTGCGGATGGATGCAGCACACGCGAGGGCGGTCCGGGTGGTCTTGCTTGTCGAGCGGGACCTGCTAGAGCGACGGGCAGGCGACGATGTCCGAGGGACGATCGTAGCCCGCGGCTGGCGTCCGAAATAAGCGGGACCGGTGACGGTTCCTCCGGAAACAGCGGTAGTTTTGGCCCGAGTCCGTGAAGAAATGAGCGGTCCCCGCTCCGGAAGCAAAGACAAAACGTGCACGTATCTAGTTGCCAAAGACGCGGCAGGAGACATCACGCGGAACTCCGAAGTCGATGAGGAAGCAGGCCCTGAAGATGCGGGAACAGGCGAGACGATGAAGACCCCCGGGGACCGCCGAGAATTCTCGCAGGCAATCGTTGAGTCCGTCAGAGCATCCAACCGACGCGGGTGATGTCGGCGAAAATCCCCAAAATCGGAGGGCTGCAACACTGAGGGCGAAAAGACTCCCGCCGTGCAAGGAGGGCGGAGCCCACCCAAACCGACCTCCGGCGTAGACGACGAGTGCCGCAGCCCGAATGAGGAAAACACCCGCTTGATCGACACCATCAATGCAGTCGNGGGCTGCAACACTGAGGGCGAAAAGACTCCCGCCGTGCAAGGAGGGCGGAGCCCACCCAAACCGACCTCCGGCGTAGACGACGAGTGCCGCAGCCCGAATGAGGAAAACACCCGCTTGATCGACACCATCAATGCAGTCGGGGCCGGTTTTGTCAGTGTCTTGTGCTGGTAAAGGCAACCGCGAACGACAATCCGTGTTGCGGTTTGCCAAACCTTTCCGATATTTCAGGGTGTATTGACACCAGTCGTGCAGTGGGATTAGCTCCTGTTATTGTCTACCTACCGCACACCATGCTTTCCCTCGATTGCTTCCCGACTCGCCATGTCGTACCGAACGGGGCACCCTTTGCGAGTCCTCTACTGTGGGCGGCTCCTATACATTACTCTGACTTCATCTTCCCGCCCTCCGGGATCCTCGTTCCAATTTGTTGCCCCCAACCGCCATATACAGCGAATTCCCTAATCCGTAGCAAAATAGGCATTCACCTCTATTCACCCCCTATTTCTTGACTATTTACCTCGAAGCTCCGCGGGCTTGGTCATACTTCAGAACTTGCACTGCACAACCTTTAGTTAAGACACGATGTCAACGGCGCGTCATCGGGCAACGCTGCACAACATGACAACGACGCCACCGCCAGAGCAACTGCTCCGCCGTCTGCTCTGTATCCCGATCATGGGTCGTTAACCTCATTGCGATTCTTGGATCGCCTGCTGCGATGTAGGAGGAGAATCCCGACCACGCCGGTGTGACGACGGCAGGAATAATCGGCACCTGGCGATGATACGGGTGGCTACCTGCACACCGCCGCCGCATCGACCAGCTGCCCCGCTCCGCGATTGAGGACCCGATGAGGTCGTCCATCCGGTCTAAGTTCGCCTGTGCCTTAAATCTCGCTACAGCCCTTATTGCAATGCCGTCGGACCGCACTCATTAGGCCGTGTGTTTCAACTCACCCAGCTCTTGGCGACCCCTTCGATAGCCATCCTTTTGATTCCACCGCCACCCCTGGGCCGCGGTCTACGGTGCGCGGAGAAGACCGTGCCCGGCACGGGCGCCTTGCTGCTCCCCGAGCGGGCGTAAGCCCTGGCTCCCATAAACGCCGTCACGGCTTCTGAAAGGGAACAGCTGGCCTTGCCGGCCGCCATCCCCACGCACCGGTCCGCCCGCGTCCTGCCGCCCTTCCCAGGCGTGACCTCGATTCAATCGCCATCTGTGAGTGTGCAAGCGCTCCCTTCCACAACAAGCAACAGAAACAAAACGAAACCAAGTTGATACGTTTCGTCCACGCGAATAACGAAGACATTGACATTAAAGAATTTCGTGCGTACATCGCACGAATGCCGACTCTGTGGTAAATGTGGGTAGTGTTGTTGAAGTAAGCCCCCCAAACCAGGCCGCCAAAACACGATTGATGTGTTTCGCCCGGGCACATACCGATTACATATCTGCACGATATACATGACCGACCGCGTAATCGCACAAACTCGGCGTTCGCAGGAACGGCACTGCTCTTTGAACAAGGTGGCCCTACCACAGAACCAACTACAAATGTTGGTTGTATTGTCCGGCGCATACTGGCAAATCAAAGCCATGGTCATGATTCTACTGGATAGTGAGAATCGCTCGAATGCGACAACCGAGGGAAGTACTGTTGTTGCTAGGAACACGCCCACACCCACGGCCGCCATTCACGACCGGTGTGTTTGGTTGTCTGCATAACATATCCGCGTGAATCGCCCACTGCGACAAGCCTTGCAGCACTGTTCGAAACAAAGCCTACAAACCATGGTGGCCAATCACAAATTCATGTGATTCGCCGTGGTAATGTTGAAAACATGTTTGGATTGCCATGACTGCCCGATTTGTACGAATGCGCTGGCCGCATTAGACAGCGTTTTGCAACCGGAGCTCCATCACCAATCGCAGAAAACCATGATATGACTGGGACACGCTAGATTGGGTGGTCTAAGCAGATACTGACAACCAAGTTCTGATCGACATGTCTGCGGGAATCACACGAATGCGACGGCCTCGGTAGGTAACATCGTTCCAACAACTACCACACCACCGCCAGCCACGATTGAGGTGTCTGGTCCCGGAAGACACTGACCGCGCACAAATGGAGGGATGGTAAGACTGCGTGAATCTTCAAAAAGCGACCATCGCAGTTGGCAGCGCTTCGAAAACCGAACGCTCCCACCCTATCTGCAACACATTGTAGACGTGTTTAGTTCCGTCGCCTCCATAGATTTTATTCCTCGTGATGCATTCATGGCTGCGTGAACCGTGCAAAGCGACATCTGTGATACGCCGCAAACTTCATGACCGCGAAGCAAAAGTCATGTTTGTGGTTCCCGGAAAAAAAATGGGCTGCGCGGGCCGCACGATGCGACACTCTGGTATTTAGTGCTGCGGAAAACCGAGCGTACTATCTACCGTCGCCAACCCCGGTCCCGGCAGAAATATATCTGCGTGAATCGCCCACTGCGGAAACCCTGCTAGTTAGCACTGGTCAATACGTACCCCACCGACCTGGACCGTCAAACACGATTGATGCGTCCGGTGCCGGCATGGAAAAATCTGCGTCAATCTGCGACAATTCTCGTGCGTAGCACTGTTCCGGATCAAGCTCACCGACCACGACCGCCAGACACGAGTCATGTCTTTGGTCTCGGCATGAACTGATCTGCGTGAATCGCCCAATGCGGCAACCCTGGTAGATTACCATGTTTTAGAAACAAGAAGCTGCCAACCACGGTCGCCAAACACGATTGATATGCTTGGTTTCGGCATGAACAAATCTGCGTGAATCGCCCCGTGCGACAACCCTGACAAGTAGCACTGTTCCAACATGAAGTGCACCAGCCACGGCCGCCAAACACTATTGATGTGTTTGGTCTCGGCCTACACAAACCTGCCAGAATCGCCCCATGCGGCAACCCTGGTAAGATCTCCCTATGCCACAACTTTGGTAGGTAACACTGTGCAAAGTGTAGCTCACCAGCTACGGCCGCCAAGAACGATTGATGTGTTTGGTCCCGGCATAAACTGATCTGAATAATCGCCTCATGCGACAACCCTGGTAGGTTGCTACAGTGGACCACGAGTCACAACATCTAATGTCGACATCCCTTGTCGGGGACCATAGATTTTGAAAGGTTTGTCCCGATATTCGTTGTCAAAACAGTAGATTTTGAAAGTTTCTTTCGACTTCCATCGTCAAGGACAACACA